CTAGTCCATCCTGTGGATTTATCTTGATATTGCCCTCTTGCAGCACTCTGATTAGGATTTCTTATTTGGTTGTTGTGGCTTGCTTGTGTGTGTCTTTGTTGAGGGCAGTGTTCATGCACACTGTTTTGAACTTGACGTTGATCTTTATTGCATTGATCGGCATAAAAAGAGAAGGAGGGATTGTTAGCTTCACTGTGTCTACTATTTGTTGTCCAATCAGAGTTCTCAGCATGTCTATTCACGATCACAGTAGCTGGTCCACGACCCCTGTGAGGTCGATGCCACCCTCTGTTTCGCATTGTGTGTTGCTGCATGTTGTAGTCAGAATGCCTCCTGTCATTGGAATCCGTACTGGTACCAGAACTGATCGCTCGCACAAAATCTTTCCCTTCCTTGTTTCTGTGTTCCTGCAAATGATGATCACTTTGACTACGCTGAAAATAGTTCCCCCTGCCACGTCCCCTGCCCCGAGAGCCAAAACCGGCACCACCGCCCCTTCCTCTGGGTCCCCGTCCTCTAAATGGTCCCCAACGTCTTTCTGGTGTCTGAGTACCAGAGTCAGTTCTAGTGTCCATATTTCTGAATTTCTCTCGACCCCTATTCGTACTTGTAGTTTGGTTTCCATATTGTTTCTGGTGATACAACTCCCCCGGTGTTCTGTTACCAGATGTCAGTTTCTTTTGGCCTTGCTTTAGTGCATTAGCATAGCTAGAGGTACAGGAATCAGCTCCACCATTGTTACTTGTAAATGTCAGTGTTGAAGCATCATTGTTCGTGACTTTGGCAGTAATGCTTTCATTGTCTTCTTCATCATCAGATCCAACAGCAAAATTAATCTTGGAAGACGAGTCATATGATTTCCTCCTGTCAGAGGCGTACCCTGAATTCTTTTCACACCCTGCAATTGGTGCTGGGGAATTCCTTGATGATTTGGAGACTACGCTGGCCCAAACACCAGAGTCACCACCTTACAAGGAAAGATGAAAAAAAAAACAAGGTTGACAAATATCTTGATATCACAAAAGTATCATTTGAAACAATTTTTAATAATTACATAAGTAATCAACCCATGTTCTGGCTCTATGAAAATCTATGACCTTGCTGTTATGTGACTGTGGGCCATGAACGATATACATTCACCAGTGAAGGAGAATTAGAGCCTGGCAGTTATTTTCAGCCAAATTAAACAGGTATCAGTAATCTGTCAGTCAAAACTTTGTAAAGAGGAAAACAAAACTTTAAAAAAAATTACATATGGGTTGGGGACGGGGGATCCTCCAGTCCAAAATCAAGCAAAACAAACAAACTTTGACCTACTTCCACTTCGCTCACGGAAGTCCATCGATGAGAGTGCGTGTACGAGAGATCGCTCACTCCAGACACCTTGCAGTAAGGGCGTACTGATTGAATGCGATAAACCTTTAGCACTTCTACCATACTGAATCCCGGGTGAAGTCAACATGGACTCTGTAGGAGTGTTACGTCCAGAGCTACCACTACCACTACTAGTAGATCTGCACACCAGCTTAAGTGTTTTCTCACTCACCCCACCACCTTCTTTGAATTGAATCTGGTGCAGATGTTTGGTACTTCGCTGCTTAACATGAGACTAGGAAGAATTTACAGGATAAAAAGCATATTATTAACAGGGATTTTTTTAAACAAGGAAACAGGGGCACAGTGCCCTCATGCCATGGCCATGCGTCCCCTCCTGGGGAGCAGATCCTCTGGCAACCATAAAATTCTGATTGACCAGGGATCACATGTGGCCACAGTCTTCAACTGTGACCTGCCTGATAGTAACTTTGGAAGCCATAGAATTATCAAAAACTCCACACCCTGGTAGGGAGAACCCCCCCCCCCCCCTGGTGGTGTCGCTAAATTGCAGTGTAACACAAATCCTAAAATGATCACTAAAGGACAAGACATATGTATATTTCTAGATATATTAATACAAATGAGTGTTCCTGTAAATAAACTGGTTAATAATAGTCTCATGCTGTCCTTGCTTAATCACAAAGTACGTTTTTCGAAATTTTTCGTTTTTTAAGAAGCTCTTTAATCTTTTTGTTCATGCAACTTAACATTTCAAACCAACCACTGTGTTCTGTGATGTCATGTGATCGCAAGGTCATGTGATCTTCATCACTGTACATAGATGTTAAAGTATCATACAACTATCCTAATCTTATAAATCCTTATTTTAATATAATATTTTCACTAGGTATCACAAAATAAATGACACTCTTGCTAACATATAATTACCTCAAAACTGACAACACACTCTATCTTCATAGATTCTGTGGGTCCTTTGTGCCAACTTTCCTCCACGAAAGGTGGATATGTCATTCGCATCATGTCATATGGCGGTGATTTGGATATGAACGTCACATCCTTGATGCAAGTTAAAGCTGATGGGTCTCCATCTATTTCTAAATACATTTTCCACTTGTGTTCCTTTGGGGGGTAGAAATCAATGAGATGTAAGTGGCCAAACTAAAGTATCTCCAAACAGTTTGTTTTGACATGAGATATGTACTGATAAATATTCAATATAAACAAGGTACTGTGCAATGTTCAACACAAACTATGCACTGACTCAAGTTTACTATTACCAATGTTTAACATAAACTATACTGAGCAATGTTCAACACAAACTAAGTACTGTGAAATGTTCAACATAAACTAAGTACTGTGAAATGTTTAACATAAACTATACTGAGCAATGTTCAACACAAACTATGTACTGTGAAATGTTCAACACAAACTATGTACTGTGCAAAGTTCAACACAAACTATGCACTGACTCAAGTTTACCATCAACAAATTACAATGTTTAACATAATATACAACTCACCTGTGGAGTGGCCCCCATCCTACAGTGATTGCCAAATATCAATGTCAAACTAACTATCTTCTGCACTGGGGATGATGGCGGTTGTTTTGTCTGTCCAACTGCCTGTAAACAAGAAACAATAAAAGTGAGGATCCCAGAGAATAACAGTTAGTTGCATGATGTTAACCCCCCCCCCCCCATGAACTCTGTCAAATCACCAAACAGGAGAATTTTACAGTGTTGGGAAATGTAATGTTTTTATGTACTAAAGTAATTTGAGGATTTGACTCAATTGGATGGAACCATTATAAATATGGGTGGGTCAGAAGGTATAATGAAGGGTATTAAGGAAGCATGATTAACTTACCACTGAAAGCGGCGGAAAATGCAGTAATCTAAGATAGCACATTTTTAAACGATCTATTTCAGTAATTAAATCTACCCTGTGTCCAACAGATACAATGCCCATAGCCTTCAAATCATCTTCAGTCAAAAGTAGCAATCTATGCCCATTGATATTATTCATTCTGAATATACTAGCATACTTTGTTAGATCACTTAGATAAGAGCCTGTTAAAATAATAAAATAAAATAAAATATTATAAATGACACTGAAAGCTGTATAATAAATATGAGATTATGCCCTATGCCAACACAAATAGTTGTTTACTAGAATTAATCTTTTAGTTACCCACATAGAAGATGACATAAAATACACCGATCAATATTTTGTAATTTGCAGTGGAAGACAGTGGCATTAGGTGTCTGACTAGCAGAAGTAAATAGGAATTTATTCAATATTTTGGCTACATCAGAACTACCGATAATGATGAGGACAAATGGCAGAAGACACATTTCAATTAACCAATCTAATTTACAATCAGTAGCGGACCATGACTGCATTCATTGGGCATCACTACTATGCAGTTATCGTAGCCCTTTTGGAGAAAACCCTTAAATTATAAGTTACACTCAAGATTACAGTAAATGGTAAAAACTCAAATCAGGCAGTGTGGAGATAAAGTGAAGAAGAGGAGAAGTCTCTGACAGAGGTGAGAGAAGTGTAGATGACAATTGCGCTGTAAAATAGTCCTCACCGTCAACTCCCAGTTGTAACATCCAATCATACACCTGCGCTTCACTCCAGGAGTTGAGGTCATGATCAACCTGGTGACTGTTGAAGTGATGCTGCTCTAGAATCTTCTCTCGTTCCAACAAAAGTTTTTCTCTTTCCTCCAGCTCTTTCTGTTTGTCACTCAGATGCCTTTCCATGTGCTTGAGTCTTTCAAAAGTCTCGTGAATCTCAGCCCTATCAAAATGAATTTGTAAATTGTTTTGGTCATTATTTGTTATATAGGTTTTTGAATACAAATGCGTTTATCATGGGAATACCACAACATAAGCATACAGGCAGTATAGGATTAATTGTATGTACACGTTTTGCTAAGTGTCGGCACATGCAATCACCGTCCTGACACCATGTAGACCTTGAAGTACTGTACTTGTGCGATAATCTCATCTCAATAAATATGCCAGACATCATTGATGAGATGCATCCACTTATTAACACAACATGACATCATTAATGTAATCAGACGACTACTAACCTCCATTCCTCCTTATTATCAAGAAATGAACCAGTTTCTTCAGATAACTCACCTGTGTTACAAATCAAAATGATACAATAAATTTATGCAAACAAAGTAGCATCATTACGAGAAGTTTTACTGCACTTATGTCAAGACGTTGGGCATAACCAATCTGTGAATGCATTATTGATGGCCAAACACCAAGCTCTAACTTTACTTGACTCTTGAAAAGCACTTAACTCACAACTGCTTTATTGAAAAAAATGGCTTAGACTCTTGGACAATTTTTATTATCTATATGGCCACCAATCGGTTCTATAATGACTTTCAACCTTTGCACGTGCTGTCCATGGTTGCATGTTATATTGGACTTTGCCACAGAGTAAATGATATCTATGTAATTATGATAATGGTAATCATTTATTACCGGGTAACAAATTTTTATGATGAAAATGACTGCCAGTTGATTATACATAGTTTGGATCACAGTCTATTTAGATAAACATGTCAAAACAAGTTTTTTTTATTAACAATTCAGTTTGCCAATATGTATCACTACGGGTAAACTTTTCTATTTAATTATTATAAAAGCAGATGACCAGGAAATATCATCTTCATTCTCTCACTCACCATCTTCTCTCATTTCTTCAATTTTGGCTAATATTTCTGGAAATACCATTCTTTTCTTAGGATTCACATCCCAGCAATTACTCATCAATTCAGCAAAGTGGTTTGGACAACTACTAGGTATGGTCAGCCTCTAAATTAGAAGTAAATACATTTGTACAACACTTTTCATATGACACACATAAAAAATAACAACAAATGTTATGTTGAACAATAAACTAAATCAAAGCAAGCTTAGCTTCAGTGTGCTGAAAGTATTGGAGGCATGAAGTACAAATAAGGAATACTACCAGTAATACAGTATTTACTACATATTTACAGTAAAGCACATATGCTTTAATTAGAGCAAATATACCATTTAAAAATATAACTGCAAATAATGATCAGAGTGGTTCCAAGTAGCTATGTTTTAACTATTTAATGAAATAATGACCATATATGATGACTTGATATTTTGGTCATATATCTTGTCAGACAACAAAAGTATAGCACCAATTGCATGTCCCTATCTGCAACAGTACTTAAGATATTACAGTTATGCATATTATTAAGGTCACATATCACATTGATCTCACCAAAAACTAAACAGATTGGCGCATTATCCCAGAGTATCTATGTACCTACTGTTTCATTAAAATCTGTTGAATGGTACTTGAGAAACAAGTGAAAATGATTACAACTTGGTAAGGTGAGGAATATGCACTGAACTTCAGCCCAAAACAAAATCAAGTCTGTGCAATATCCCAGGGCATCCATTTACCAAGTTTCATTTAAATCTGTTGAGTAGTACATGAGAAAAATGATTTTGGCTAATTGTTATGCAAATTAGGTATTTATTATATGTAATTAAACCCAAAACATTAGATTACATAAGATCGTTGCAATGTCTTAGAGTATTTATGTACCAATATCAGTGGAAATGAGATATCAGTGGAAAATTACCTAATTATTACGCATGGTTTTAAACCAAAACCTAATCAAATCTGCACATTAGCTCGGAGCATCTATGCATAAAGTGTCATGAAAAACCAATATATAGTTCTTGAGACAACAGTGGAACAGATGAACACACACACATATACTAACTGCAAAGGCTTCCATTGAGTCAAAAATAAATGGTTGGAATTACACTCAGTTTGTAAGTCTTGGAACACATAATATGCACTGAGACAAAAAAAAAAAAACGAACACACAATCGATGTGTGTAAATAAGCACTACAAATACATATCAATATTGTAGATGTGTGCTGTGACCGGGTATCATCTCTTTTATTTACATCACGGTATTGTGAGAAGAAAACACACCACATACACTCTTTCCATAAGAGGATGCCCTTGCAAACAATGATGTCAACATCATTGTGGAAAAACAAAAAACGAGGCCAGTGCAAAAAAAACATGCGATCGTTAGGAAATAAAGTTTTGTCCCGGTGGCAACGCACAAGAACATAGTAAACGACAGACATTGAATAATTTCTGACTAACTGGCCTTGTTTTTTTTTGACTCAATGACGTTGACTTCATAATTCACAAAGGCGCCCTCCATCATGAAATGAATTTATCAAAGCAAATAAATGGAATCAAGGACTACAGTAATGGGCTGTGTTATTTACCTCATTCTTATCAACTACAAGCCACGCAACTTGTATTCCTTCCAATCCACGGAATGGAATCTCTCGTGTCAGTAATTCCCATAAAACCTAGAAAACAACAAGTGGTTAAATATTAATATTTGTTCTACTAATAGTGCATCTCTAATAGATATGCGTATTAAATTTATTATATACTGCAGCATTAAAATAAGATTTATTTTGTCCATAGACATAACACTGTCATTTACATAGACCAATACATTACTACCGGGTAACAGAGAAAATATGGCACAGTGTTGAGCAATACATGCAAAGCAAGCATTAAATGGTAACGCTTTCAGCACTACATACATTTTATTCCATACACTATAAGCAGCATACCACTATGACTCTACGTGTTAAAAATTAATCAAGAAAAAAAGATAAATTACATGAATGTATTTATCCCAACAGTGAAGACAATATAATAACTAGTACATGGACTTCATAGATTTGATTGGCTGTCAAAGCCAGTATACATGTACAGATGTGTTCTGATTGGTTAGAGGATTAATTATTCAATAGTAGGCCTGTATAACATTGGAATTCATTTGACATTAACAATATATTTACAAAACTTCAAAAAACAATTTAAATAGTTTTATTAGCATAATCAAATTAGACACAGCTAATGAATTACTGGCCTATTTGTTAGATTTTTCTCATAACCATATTTTCATTTTAATTTCACAGATATATTGGAGTGAAGTTAAATCTACTCACCACTCCGTAAGAGAAAGTATCAGCTGTTTCAGATACTGGTAGACTTTGAATGACCTCTGGTGCCATCCATGGAAACGTTCCAGCTAGTGACATCTTGGTTGTGCTACCCATAAAACGAGAGGCACCAAAATCACATAACTAGAAAGAGAAAGTAAATGATGAAGATACATTTTACTAAATAAGCACATATCTGTGCTAACAACACCAACACCATGTGTGTAACATACAGAAGTCACAGTTGTGACATTTTCTATAGCTTAAATTTATGGCAGGAATTTTAAATGATGAGGAATGTAGCACCATCTTAGCTAACTCAACCACCAAACTTAACCACATTCTGACCCCCGTGAAAATGGCTGAGTCCAGGAGCATGAAAATGAAAGTACAAAAGTAAAAACAAACATTGCTGATAATGTTCCTAGAAATATTGCCATGGTTTATTTTGGCAGTCGCTGTAAACTGTCATGTCATTTAAAATACTGGATAAATTCAAACAATCCACCTACCTTTATGACATAATCAGCATTAATCACACAATTCTTAGACTTTAAATCTCTGTGAATTACTTTAAATGGAGCTTCATTATGTAAATAATTCATACCTGCATGCATGGATAATCAAAAAATAACGATAGATTGTTATTATTATCAAATGGGTTTAGAGTAAGTAGAGTTGATTGAGAATACCGTACTTATCCGGGTAAGAGCCCATGCCTGGACAAACGTCCATCCCCCACTTTTGACACAATAAAAGAAGTTGAGGTCATATCCGGGCACATGCCCAGGGGGTCTTTTTCTACACAAAAAATAACAAAAAACTATTTTCTATTCGTTGACTGTGGTTGTATTAACAGTTGACTTTCTTGAAGTCTGTCGTGGTTTGTGCTTCCTTAGAAACGATTCAAGCAAATTCGGCTTTAGCGTCGTCGACAATGAATCCAATGTTGCAATATTGTAGCAACCCGTACCTGGGAGAGTGGTTGAAATCACGTTATTTTGGCTTTATGAAATATTTTGTAGCAGCTTGCGAATCCATGACTGGGGCCAGCAATTTTGCAATGTCACACCAAAGACTGCCAACTTTCTTACGATCTTTCATCACCGCTATTGCATTTCTGTCATAAAAACTATTCTTCTGTTGTTAGATAAAAAAAACTTCCTATTTCTAGTCCATCGCGATATCCATATAGTGAGACATTCCAACCGCTGGAACTTGACCTTTATGATGAAATACTAGTAGTGATGTCATTCTTAGCCAATCAGTAAAGCAGATGCATAAAGGTCAAAGATGATTGCCAGACTGTAAACAAAAGCATTGTGTGCCATCGCAGCAGAGCGACCCCATTTTTCTTGTCTCTTTATTGTGATTAGACAAGAATGAAAAGTGCCAAGCTGACAGACTGCAAAATCCATAGATTAAAAGTGCTAAGTCCAAATTGTGTGGGACGATATCGACGAACTTCAGGAAGAAGTTGTAGAGATTTTGTTCGACGGCTACAGTGACACCGACTTGGACTTTGAGGGTTTTGAGTTTGACGAAGATGGCAATGAACGTACAAACAGCTATGAATTTTTATAATTTTTACAGTGTAATTTGTAAATTATTATTGATCTTGTATGATTCGTAATTTGTCGAGACCGGAAATCATTTTACGCAGTTTAACCCCTGACATTTTAATTCATTTTGAGTTCACACGTATTGGTTGTGTTTGTCGGTGGGAAAATCCTAATTCAAATGATTCCTCACTGTCAATTTTTATTATTTCTGGTTTATTTGTCACATTATAATTATGCAATACATTAATTTTGTTTTACTCCTAATGTTGCATATTGTTCATTTATTTCCGTTGCATGTTTTCATTTGCCATTCTATTCCCTGTCGCAGTTCGATCTGCGTGTTGTCAATTTTCGTGGTTTTTTTTGCCGGGGATCTCCAGGTAAACGCCCACCCCTATTTTTTGGCAATTTTCCATGTTCAGGACCCTGGGCTTATACCCGGATAAATACGGTAAAACTGTTTATTAAACGATCTAAAATGATTTATTTAACAATGATCAAATATTTACAGTAACAACATTGGCGTACAATATAATGTAAAGACAGTCACATTTGAAATCAAACTTACCTAAAGCAATATCCCTGGACCATGCAAGGATATGCTTGAAATCTAGATTGTTTTTGGAATCAGCTAAGTAGGCATATAAGGACCCCCTAGGGGCATACTCTGAAATAAAGATGGTACATAGTTTAAAATAACACATAGAATGTGATAACAAACTGTAAGTCACATGACAAGTTTGACAGTCTGTATGACCGAGATTTCAGGACTTTATGGCATAAAAATAAAATTTCATGAAAGTCACTGACACCCGTGACAGAAATTGTCAATGCTCAAACATTTTTCACTGACTCACATGTTAGAAATCTCCACCCAATACAAATATCACTCTTGAGCATTTCAAGAATCACTCAGAAATTGAAATCTGACAAATTTTGTTTTGGACCAATATTGAATCCATAAAAAAAACTGACATATGTATGTGACATATTAGGACCATCTTTGAACTACACCTAACAAAGCATGGCCAAGAACTGGCTGGTAGAGAATGGCCAGACAGATGGAACCCAATTCATAAGTAAGATTTTACAATCAGACTGGTTTTCTATAAAGATAAGAGCAATACCTACCTGTAACTAGACAATAGTTAGGTTCCTGAGTTACTGCACCAAAAAATTTTATAATATTGCGGTGACTTAGTTGACTTAGAACTTGAGCCTGAGAATAATAAGAGTAATGAGTTCAGCTTTGAGCTTGGAATTTGTTTTCTTTTTATAGAACAATGATGTTCAAGATATACATGTATATCAATGTACAGTTATTCTGATGCATCAATTGTGCGCCAAGGAATTCGCACCGAAAGCGACAGAATTTGTCAATCCATAAAAAAGTAAAACATATCAGGACTCGTTCCAAAATGTATCAGCACTCATTTGAATATTTCAATTTTCTCTTATATGGCATGAAGTACATCACCAACATTGATGCGTTTAAGGTTATTGACCTTACATTCAAACACTTCCCATTGGTTTACATTGGATACAGAATCGCTACAGCACGCAAAGGAAATAGAATCCTGTCACTGAATGTAGCGAAAAACCATTTTCATTGCGAATTCAGGCTATAATCTCTGAATAAATTAATATTACAAGTAGGAAAATTTTTTATAATAATATGTTATTTCGAGAATACTACAAAGTATGCAGTCAGGCAGAACAGGGCCGCACCAATCTCTGCCGTATTGCCTTAGAGTATACTTTGTTTTGCTGTATTCTCATGATAACCTTATAATAAAATATACATATACAATATAAATTAATATAAAAACATTTCATGAACATTGTTTCATTTCAAAGTTATAATGTTTACAAACCTCTTTTTCTAAGACAAGTAATTTCTTGATTGCCACTTCCTTGTCGTGTGATTTCCATCTTGCTCGATAGACACTTCCAAATGTACCACCCCCGCATCGTTCAAAAAATTCCAAGTCATCAAAGGCAATCTCATAGAATGAGGATCCCATCTTGTGGGCATCCTGATTCACAAAGCCTGCAAGAAATATTGATTTGTGAATGCAAACACATTTTTATATTTCCTAACCACCATATAATAATAATAATAATAATAATAATAATAATTTAATTTATTACACCATAATGAAAGTTATGTTATATAATAAATTTTAAAAACAATAACAAAAATAAAAGTCAAAGAGAATTAAGATAAATGTAATTTAAAATGGCAAATTAGCCTGAGATAGTGTGGTGATATACAATTATGTATGATAAGTACATGTCTATGTGTCATGTTTCTTGAAACAAAGTTTTAAGTATTTAGTCACATGCTTGATTAATTTATGTTCTTTTGTAATAATAATAGTTTTGAATTTGTTTATATTGTTTTCTGATTGAAAAGTCAGGAGAACATTTGTGAATTCTGTATAAAGTATTTCTCTTTCAGTATTATAAAAATCACACCCTGTTACAAAATGTATTTCATCTTCAATTTCTGATGAAGTGCATCTGTTCTATTAATGTCACTAATCCATGAAATCCGTATATAAAAATTGTTTTATTTAGGGTATTATCATGAACTACAAATGCTTGCATATGATTAATTACAGCTAAGGTTCAGAATAAAATATAAATCTACATTACAGCGAATTTCATCGTGAATTTGCAGTGAGAACTATAAAATGGGTTGGTCCATCATATACCCTTCCCCTCCACTAAATTAAAAAATTCACAAAAATACATCTCTTGTGAAATTAGATCAGTGCATATTCCTTGCATACTGACAGTAATATAATTTAGTGTTCCATCAGGACAGTATCACAGGCAGGTTATATATATATATATACTATTCAACTGTAACAATATACTGTACTGCTAGTAGTCGCAGGGGGAAACCCCTAGAATTGCATATAGGCCTCATTAGCATACTCTCCAAGTACATGTACACATTACTTTTGTTACAATAACCTTGAAAAATATAAAGACATGTCTATTAATCGGGGAAAAAATCATACGATCGATTATTGTGCATGTCCAGTGCCACAAGTTATCTGGCATATTACAGTCCCTCAAGGTGTTGAGGGACTGTGGGCATAGTATGTATCAAAACGTCAGGGTCACGATTTCATTCAAAAAATGACGCGAGGGCATGACTATGATGGTGGTGGTCATGGTGTTGCTGTTGAAGGGTTGTGAAAATGAATATAGTTATTTATGATGCCGTAACATCAAATAAATGCATTCACAATGTTTGTAAACAACGACGAAATAGTGACATTTTTTCTGCTTCAAGAGAGATGTTATCGTCATCCAGTGATCGGTCGCCAGACATGTAGACAGTCACCTCGATGTGATGCAACACAATTCCCAAATATGAATGTGATAATTCATGCCAGTTCACGATGTCTGAGAAGTGTAAAATAATAAACAAACACTTACCCGCCGTTTTGTTGACGGCTTGTGATGTCAAATAGACAGACACAACAAAACACTCAACAACCAATAACAACACGATTGTGCATCTGTGTCTGTGAGTCTTTCTAAGGTCATGCCGCAAACAGTGCTATTTTAAAAGAACTGGTATTTACACGCTGTGTAATGTATATACTAATATTCAAACAAATAATCAAAAGAAAATTATTCATTTTTTTTGCATTCCTTTATTTAAATATTTCAAACAATAAATTATTGTTACCCTTTAGTTGAAAAAGTGTATTTACGACGAATAAAGTACCCTTTTCCGATACCACCTGACGACACCATATTCATCCGCCCCTACAAAACGTAATTTGGTAAACATGTAAACACATTTTCGTTCTATTTTGCTGATATGCAGTGCAACAAATTATGTATCCCACCATTTTTCACTGTTCTTTTATTTTTTACGTAAGCTGCTAAGAAAGTCTATGCTGGCGGATATAGTACTATTTTTTATACTGACGTAGTTTTACTAGTATTTGTAAACAACAACTGTGGTGTGAATTGTTTACTGGGATTCCAGATTTCCGCTCCGTGCGTGTTACGAGTTTTGGCAAGTAAGTAGCAAATCTTCATTTTACATTGGCAATGCTGATGTCGGAGTTTTAATTGAAAAACTGATAATGGTGTCTTGCAGTTGAACCATATCGCTATCACACCATGCCAACGGCTATATTTGACAGAATTTCAGAAATGTCAATGCCAACACGATGTTCATATTTTAAATTTCATAGTAATATTCAAATGCAATTATTTGAATTAAACGTTTTAATCTGACTGTTTGTTTCCATAACTGCGTGAACAAACTAGTAATTTATTGAAATTTATACTGTTGCTATAACAACTATATACAGATATCAAATACAGGAAATGGATGAATATTTAATGATGTACATTTCCACACTAACTACAGGTTGCCCATGGATGGGTTACTGTGAACGAAAAAGCAAACCAACCAGCAGAATAGCAATATCGCTCACTGTTTTGCTGATAGTAACAGTAGCTTTTTCGTTCACAGTTATGGTAAATTATTAAAAGTATTTAAAAATGTAGATTCAAATCCAAACAAGCTCTTCCGACTTCTGTATAACACAGATAATTTCAAAATAATAGTATCAGTATACAACATAGCTCTGAAGCAACTCACACCTTTGAGCTTAAAGCGAGGTGGTCGTCAATAAACAATATATTTTACAAGCGTTGTATACATCGCTATGAGTCTCATATCAAACAGGACGCGGCATGACGACTGCCGCCCTTTAATTTTTTTCTCCTATTGTAATCCTTATCACTCCTTGTGAGAAATGTTATGTGTTAATAAAAATTATTATTATACATCTGTCATTGTAATGCCATAAGTTTTGTGGTATTGCACTGGGTATTTTCATCCAAATTAGGAATGATTACGCGCATAATCGTCCTCTAATAATAAAAAACAAACATGGTTGCCCCCCGGGGTTTGACCGGACCCCACACAAAGAAGTTCACTAAACATTTTGGATTTCAGCATTCCCATGATGTATTCCTGAGAGGAAAAGATGTATAATAATAAGGTTATAACAAGGATACTATGCACTCAGACAGTATGCGGTCACAGTGACCTCAACTGCATACCGATCGATACGCCCGCTATACCATCGTCTGCCTGCACGGTGTTGTTCCTCCCTCTACAACACCGTGCGGTAATTCCATTCATAACCGTGTATGTCACGTGGTTGCGCGATAGAAAGTTTACCGACCAATAGAAAGCTTTGTTACAAAGACTGCCAGAAAGCGCTCGGAGCTCTGCATTTCTGATGTTTTCGGCTTCATTACTGCCGATATGTGTTGCAGTGATATCACGAGCTTTGGGGTATAACACCTACTCTTCTATAACAGTCAACAGTGGTGACAACACTATTACCACTATTACCGGTATTAAGTAAAGCTTGAATAGCTTTGGTCTGAATATCAGTGAGTTGCATGATGTATGGATATTGTCACTGTATCGCCTCGACATCCAAGCCAACACAGCTTTAGCTGTGCTCAGCGACATTTATTCTCGGGTCAGGCATTTTCACCGCCTGGCAACCATCATGGTGAAACAAAGGCCAATAAATTCACAGAAAACGGTATTTTGGGATGGTTGTTGTCACCCCCTACATATGCAACATATTTAAATTTGGTTGGATTTCTTCAAAGTTAAGTTTGTGCTGTTTTCTCGATTTTAGCTATTTTCACCGACTTTTTGATCAGTGCACAGCAGCTTGCGCAAAGTCCATAGAAATACATGGTAGAGTGGTGCGCGTCTTAAATAGCAATGTGGAGCGTTTAGTGACTTAGCTCCGCCTCGAAGATTTTGATAACTTGGCCAAGTGCGTTGAAGAAAGAAGTAATATGATTGGCTGTTGTTAAACTGATTCTAAACTGTGAGGGCATTGTCACATACACATAGTCCTAATGAAATACTTCAAGGTGATAGTGGAGTGCTTCGCCGGAACATTCACCTTGAAAATTCAAGATGCCGCTATACTGTCTTAGTGCATACTTTGCAGTACATGCATGTCCTCATAATAATCACATATTATTATTATAGCGGTCGTTCAAGGACCTATTTTGGCGGTCGCAGATGCATCTGAGTCAAAGGATGGTAAAGACTGGTAGTGAGCACATGTCAAACTAACTATTTTTGAAAACATTAATCTTTCCACTCACGAGTACCATCATTTCAATATTTTCCAGAATTAATTGCGGTTACATAGATGTGTGAATGGCAGCTTTTTCTAGCTATGAAAACATGAAATGTTTCCAATTAGTGGAGCAAAACTGCTAATAATAAGTCAAAACATCTATCAGGTGATTATTAGAATGTAGTCTAGCATCATTGACTCCCATGTGCGAAGCACAAAATGGGAGTCTTTGCAGTTAGTGTG